CGGTTCTTAGAGAAACTTCATACTCCGTCACTAAAACGGACGCGCGCACTCTCTGGTAATTTGTACAGTGAAAACTAAACTCGAGAAAAAAAGCTGAAAATGATAGGCTGAATAATAGAATGCAACCGAGCTAATCGTCAAATCTGTCAAATCAAAATATTGTGGAAAAGGCGAATTTGAGTTAGGCATTACTCGAAGAAAGTAAAGAACATAAAACTGTCATTGACAACATTTTAGATTTTATTAAAATTCAATTATTTACTTAAGTTCGAGCTTTTAATGTGTATTTGCATTATCATCATGAAGGAAAGGGAGCATCAAAAGAATACGGTATTGTTATAGATCTATAATACTGATTTTTCTCTATCAGTTGTCCCTGCAGTGGACTAACGCATATAAAGAAAGAACGGTATATGTTACAGGAAAAACAAACAAGAATTCAGTGGAAATTGAAATTTTAAGTTCAACTAGTGAAGAGTAAAATTTAAATCGGCACTATAGTGGGATTTGGTTTAAGCTATTATATTCAGAGGTGAGTATGTCTAACAACTCTTCTCCTAATGCGCCGAAGCATTATATAGCTGAAGAGTTTAACATGATGTTTCCGTGACCGTACATTAAATACATAACAAGAAGAAAAAAAGAAAAAGAGCTGAAGAAGAAGGAAGGTTAGTGGAATGTTACAGTTAGAATCTTGCTGTCTCAATTACATATTGTATTATAAGCTTATAAAGATCTTTATATAATGCGAAACCTAGATTCTTTCGTAGTAGTAGTAGGTTTAGGTCAATGTCACAGTTCGGATCACGTAGTTTTATTGTTTAAATCGGCCGCTCTCGCCAAACGATAGCTACAACAAGAAAGGAAATAATGTTTTACCGTCTCGGATTTGCCACAGTCGCAAAACTCCTCATTAGAATCCAGATGTCGTTTAAGCAGATCGTTGTTCAAAACCGAAAAGTCCACTCTCATCTAATTAAGAGCTATGTTTGTCCTTCTATCTACAGGCGTTATGGTTTTAACAAGTTTAAAATGTTGTAACAAATCCTTTGCAAACGCTTTACATGTAATAACTTTCCTCAGCTGCAAGGGAAGAATGTTTCATATCTTGATTATATATGGAAAAAAGGAAGACAAAAACGTTTCAGTTTTTCCCACGAGTAACTAAATTTTTATTATTACCTAGATGAATAGTATGAACAAGATCTATTACTTGATTTACAGTTGAGTCACTTCTTTTAAATCCGGACTGCGTGGTAGACAATAAACTATTTTTATGTAAATACTGATATAAGTCCGTATGCACTATCCTCTCAAACACTTCGCTTAATATTGGCAAAAGAGTGATTGGCCTGTAGGTGGACGGATTTGAAGCATCACCGTCCTTAAACAACGCGTTTACATATCCTGTCTTGAAAGATTCTGGATATATTCCAGGAGTACTAGCTTTGTTTACATCAAGATACTTCGAAATATTATCTACTTCACCGGAAGCCACAGTAATCGAAGAAAGCGACTTACATTGCAATATCAGTTTGGGCATGGATTCCTCATCATCTGAGGCCAACAACGCACAAATAGACGCAAAGTATGAATTTAAAGCATCTGCCTTACAGTCTTCATTTAACCAGTATCCGGTTAAGTCTTTTATAGGTGGGACAGAAGAAAATGGTGTATACACCATTTCATACAGTGTCCGTTGAAATCCCGATTAAAACTACTCCTTGATAAGTGTGAATAGTAGATAACTTTCTAAAGCCCTCTGTAAGTCCTTAAGAAAATCTTAAATTGCCTCAGCAGATAGATAACATATAACAAAAAGAGTATTCCCCAGTTTTAGAAGCAGAACATTCACATATAAACTTTCCGTTTGAGAATCGTTTCTCCTGACTACATCTAGTGCAGAGCCTTGCAGGTTGATCCTAACCTAACCTATAGGTTAGGTTAGGATTAGGTTGCAAAAGTTATAGGCTAGGTTAGGTTATAGGTTGTTCTATTTTTTTTTCAATGGTTAGGTTAGGATTAGGTTGTCGAATCCATAGGTTAGGTTAGGATTAGGTTGTGAAATTTTTTATAGGTTAGGTTATAGGTTGCCAAATATTGGCAACCTGCAGGGCTCTGATCTAGTGATCGTACGCAGTCTTGACGTAAAAAATACATCCTACGCCTAGCGTGTCTCGGTCATTGCGAAAACATTTATATCCTGGAAGAGTATCTGCAGTGGACTGTATAGAGTTGTTCAGCCATGTTTCAACTAATCCTACCACAAGAGCATCTTCTGATTGAATATATTCATAAAATAACTCAAATTTACTGACGTTTGGATTTGCAACAGAGCATTGCACAAACATACTTTCGATGTTGAGAAATAACCCGCGACTAGCCTCTTTCATCGGATCACGATTGGTTCGACCTGTATTTTCATCTGATGTCATTATATAGAGTTGAAAAGCGTGCTAGGAACATGTAACATTTAGAATACTACTACTATTGATAGTAGACGTTATTTGTTTGGCAGATTCAAATCACTCATTGAGTTCAATTTTCAGATCAAATGCCAGTTTTTCGTTTCCTCTTAGGGAAAGACAACATACGTCTATATTGTGTCTTGTTATTTATTCAAATCCCAGTATACCTTCTTAGCTGATTTTGAGTACTTTGATATACATCACTATTCTCTCTAATGTTGAACAATACGATTTTTTAAAGCAGTCGAATGTTTTAGGCTCGAATTCATTCTGCACAATAGATGTCTAAACAGAGAATTTATTCAGACACTGAGAAAAATTGTTGCAACAGTACAAGTCACCTTGTTCCTTCGATAGGTAAAATAATCATTTAAAAGCCATATACTCTCCCGAGAGTTGAATTACCTATTACCATATCTGCAGCACGCAATTTACGACTTACTCAAACAAAACGAGTTTCCAGACGCTTTTATCGACGTACGGTGAAACTGAAAATCTTTCATTTCTCTATCGCCTCTTGCTTACAATCCTCTTCTATTTCGACTATAATAATTCTGATATAATTTCAATGTTTGGCCAAAATTAGTTCAAACTATAGCGATTACTGTTCTGAGTCTCTTTTCAGTGTCTGGTATGCTTCGAGTGTTCGTGATACGGTTGGATCTGGTCGCTTAATCATTTCTTTCTATGAATTCACTTCGGAAGAGAAGTTATGATGGATAGTTTGAATACGGTCAAGCAATTTGTTCAAACAAAAGTGAGACTGATCTGATTTGTGAACATCTGCAATTTACATAATATCTAGATGTTCAGATATTCAGATATCTTCCTCTTTTCTTTAAGGGTGGCGAACATCAGGGAGCGCCTCACTCTCATCTGCCCCTGCCATCCCCACCTTCCCTTTTCCTCATTTCTAGAACATCTGAATATCTAAATATCTAGCTTGAATATCAGATATCTACCTTTTCTGTATTCGCGGTAACGTCGTTCGTGGTAATGTCTGGCGGTAATGTCGTAAGCGGTAATGTCTCGCGGTAATGTCGTTCGCTGTAATATGGTTCGCGGTAATGTCGTTCGCAGTAACGGCTCGAGGTAATGTCGTTTTCTGCATTCGCGGTAACGTCGTTCGCTATATTGTCGTAAGCGGTAATGTCTCGCCGTCATGTCGTTCGCGGTAATGTGGTTCGCGGTGATGTCTCGAGGTAATGTCGTTTTCTGCATCCGCGGTATTGTCGTAAGCGCTAATGTCTCACGGTAATGTCGTAAGAGATAATGTCTCGCGGGAGTGTCGTTTTTTGTATGCGCGGTAATGTCGTTCGTGGTAATGTTTCAGCGCAATCGCTTTGGGATAAAAATGTGAAAAATGAAGGATAGTGGTAGAGAGGAGCGGTAGGTTGGTTGGCTTTTCTCGCTCTAAACTGCAACACTCATTTTTAATCGTGTTTTACAAAAGAGGGTGAGTGAATACTAAAACAGACGAATTAATTGCTATTTAATTGGGATTGGAGGACTTCTCCTCAGCCACAATTCTGTTATTTTTGTCGACGGATGAAACGATCGATTTTACCCAGACATTCTGTTATGTTTGGTATCTTTCTTCCGGATATGGATTATGAAGATTACGATCATATTGTGCCAGCAGTTGGTATTCGATATAGAAACGAATACGAATATGATCCAGACGATGAACTCATCTATTACGATTGATATGATGATGAAGAAATTGAGAGAGAAATGAGTGAAGACGAATTCGGATCAACGAGGAAATCGATCGACACGAAAGAAGAGGCAGATGATGGATGTATACCATTAGGTATGAGTGTTCTGTTCATTCTGAAGTAACTAATCATCGAGACATTTTTCATAAGTGCTAAGAAAAACGACAAGAAAAATGTTTCCTTTCACTTGTAGGATTTTCGGAAGATTCTGTAATTAGAATAGAATCAATTTTTGAATTCAACATAAAGATACTCGTTAACAATTTGACAATTGGAAACTCCTATATTCTCCTTTGCCATGCATCTTATGAATTTGCCCGACAAGAGAAGATGCACATGCTTTTCTACAGTCTAATTTCGATGAAAAACACGAATTTACGGTTACTGAGACGAGTTATGTGTACGAAGATTCGAAGAAAATATCATCAACAGGATCAGTGTACTATCGCTGTTTTCCAAAGCCTGAATGATCATTACCAATATGCTTTCATTTTAACTTCGACTTTTTCTACAGTATGTTTTACAAAATGAATGATGTTGGATTTGAATAACTGACAAAAATTGACTCATAATATCACTTCCTAAGATATTCAATCTGTAGAATCTCGTGATAGATAAACATCCTAGAGAAATATTCGCTTTTTCATTCTATTCTACAAATCATAGCATTCATCTTGTGTCTCTGGATTAGAAATAAATATTTCGTATTCTTGAATAGAAATATTTACAAAGTTGCGCTTGAATAAATGAATAATGTATCATGCAAAATAGTTTATATACTTTCCGAGCTGAGAATCATCGAAATGATTGCTCTTCATCCAACATGTGTGAGATTTAAGCAGTGTACAAGAAAGTACCAAACAGTTCCGGTACATCCAAGAGGATCGGTACAAGCACAATTAGGCTCGACATCAACACGAATCGATGACGATGTGCTCGCATAGGTAACGTAGGTCGTTCCATCCGCACCAATGCATCCGGTATCAAATACGAGTGTCGCACCGTTCCAAACTGTAATTCGATCTTTAATTGTATACGTTTGATAGTCAAATGCGAATGTTGCCGAATTTGAACCCATGCTATAACGTCGAGAAACGGGTGTATCAGCTCCGGCTACTTGCTGTCCATCACATTGCGTACACGTTGTCGAACATGGAGACATCTGCAATGAGCAAACGTCACCACATGCCAAATTGGTAGTCACGGAAACTGAAGAAGTGATTTGATTAGTGTTGATAACCAAACGAGCTTGATAGGTGATGTAGAGACATGCGTCTATGGGTTTGACACTCGGGAGTTGACAGATGTTCGATGGAGTAACGATTGCTATTCGAATGACTCTCGAGCCATCGGTCAAGATAAGCAAAGTTGTGACGCCCGGACTTGTTTGATTGGGGCCGTTTGCGTCTGGCAGCGGCACGACAAAAAGCAAATCGTTGCTTCCGGCAGTGCCAAAATGAAGAGCTACACCGGTATAGCTGTTTAATGTAGCTCGTAATGTTCTCAATTTGACTACAGAGTTCGAAATGGGCCGTTTTTTCGGTAATAATTCGGCTGGTACATGAAAATACAAGTATTGTGCTCGACCAGCTTCGAAGATCGATGATGAATTGTCAGTACCGCCGAATTGGTTCAATATCGATTCGTTGAACGGTATCAGAGGACTAACGCTGGAGGTTTCTGTGAACGAGGACAAAGAACGTTGATAGGAACCGTTAGGATAAATCGAAATATTAGCGAATGGCGCTGCAGAAAAACTGTCGAACAAACTTAGCGTCGTTGTTGCGACATTATTATCATTATTATTATTGGACGAAGGCGATCGCAGTACACCGGAGGCGCCGAGAGCTATAAGAGCAACACCTGCTACTACGGTAAACGAAGCAACCGAAATCACACTCCATAAAATACAGAAAGACACACCAGGGTGCATATGCTCACTTGTTGTTTGAATAACGAAAATAATATTCTAGAATGAATAAAAAAAAGTATCAAGCTTTCTCGAACTGATATATCGATCGAAAGAAGGAAATGACAGTATTACATTGGTGTAAAGCATGTTGTTTTATATGCGTGAGGAAAGTTACAGATCGCATGACGCTAAAAATTATTCGCGTAAATCAATGAATGATATGGAGAAACCAGTAATGACAACTCCCTTCCTATGTGAACGCATTCATACGTGAAATGAAGTGGACTCTGTCACTATCAACTAGGAAGGTATGTATGCAAAGAACGATTAATTTCTTGTTACTTATTGCCTCTAGCGGTGTTTTGACTGCTAAGAAAATTAATTACGACAACTTCTCACCTAAAAGAGACCATATTCAAGATTGTCTGAAGATAGGAAACAGGCACTTTTACGTTAACTATTGATTCAGACGTCAAATTAGAAGAACAAAGGAAGGAAATTTCCGAAAAATGATTCATTGTGAAGACAAATCAGTTTTTTTTTCATCTTTTCGCTGTCGATTGTCATATCGAATGTGAAGAATCAATCGACCTACAGATCACATAGTCACCGTGCACGGCTCTATTCAAAAGTAGATGGTCAAAATGAATGTGTCTGTGAAAAATTCGCTCGTATAATAAGATAATAGAAAACTCGTTAATTTGATCAGTATCACTGATTTGTCATTTAATTATCGACAAGTATCATACAGGTAGACACTGATGGAAGGAAGAAAAAAAAGATCGAAATATAAATCGTGCAGTGTTGGATATTAGGTGCGCGCCTTCCTTCAAAAGTTAAGCATCCTTCTTGTTGGTCAAGTTTAGTGTGAAAATTGACATAAAACAGAAGCTTTGCATAACCACGTTCAGTTATGTGCGTGACCGGATCTCGTTCTCTATGAGAGCTCGTTCTAATGAGAGCTACAAATCTGGCATAGTTAAACTTTGCCAGAAAAAACTCGATGTAAAACTGTGCGGAGTTCCGTGGAAGCACCCTTGATTGAATCTCATCGCTTAGACAATGGTGAATTGAACGGGAACAACGTGCTTCTCCTAATATCAATACGAAAATTCTTTGCTAGAATAATGCTTGCGCATAAATATTGGAAAGAAACCAAATGATTATTTATCTTCTTCGTTATATCTTATGTACGTTATCAGATTTTCTTTGCTTCCAACAAAAATGAAATGGCGTGCTTCTTTACCATTCTACGAAAAAATGAGTCATGACCTGTTGGAAAAGCCAATGACTATTTATTCTTCTTATCTCAGGTGAACCCTGTATTTAAACGGTAAAATGTCATATGGGCGCAGAGATTTCGAAACAAGTTGGTAACAGGCTGTCTGGCCATAGCAGCGAGAAGAGAAGATTCAATACCAACATGTGCATCATCTTCGGATGTTAGACAATTGAATTCCGCTACATTCGACTCGAGCTCTCCTGGAACAATTCATCACAATTTTCATGTTTTCTGTCTTTTCAAGAAGAAAATTTTGAACAAAAAGAAATACAAATCAATGGATGAGTTGAAAGCGGACGTCTTTGCACTTTATGAAAAAGGAAACTTCAATGATGATAATACTATTTTGACTCACTTCGATAGTAACGGCGAACAAATACTATTGACCACTGTGTGTGATATACCCGATAATGGGCAAAAGAAAGAAATCTTCATCTATAGACCTTTGCCAAATTCTCTAAAAGGTCAGATATTTTGGAGACATTTATTGTAACTTCACGTTCTCGTAAACTAGTTTCCTTAGTCGAACTTACCACAGTTCAAGCGTTCTTTCATACCAGACAGAATTCGGGCTTATTCGGACTTACGTTGGAGAATCCAATCCGGAGGTCGCGAGACATTACCCAACATACAGGAAATCTACTAAGAAATATAGAAAATGCACGTTTGGAAAGTTAAGTGATCAGAACGTTCTTCCAACAAATTTGTGGTTTTGCAGTGCGACAGATCGTTGGGACACAAAAAGATCATCACATATGAATATTACATGATTGCCGGTATCGACCTTGTAGCAAGTTGCCTGAGAAGGTTCAGTTGGCGCGTGCATATCGTTATCACAGAAAGTATTTAGTCCGACTAAAATTTGTATCATAAATACTAAACTGGTAATCGTTACAGTGAAAAAATGAGTTGTCGTTTTACGCTACTTCCCTTTCGCCATTAATTTAATTTTCCTTATTCAGGATATTTGGTAGTAGCTATGCAACATTTTTCACATGTGACCTTGGATTGCCATATGGGAACTTGATGAAATTTTGTTCCCAAAGACAGTCTTTTGTTCAATAACTTTTGGCCGATGGGTTTAGACAATCATTGCGATAACAGATAGTATTAGCTCCATAATAGTCCAATCATTACAGGGAATATAACGAACATGTTTTCTAATTATAGAGTTGCTTTTTTACTTTCTTTATTAATTTTTTCCTTCTGCTGTTCGTGTTTTGGCTTGTTGTGTTGATCCAGTTTTGTGGTGATAATGGTTTATCGCTGCTACGTTTTGGCAAAAATTTCATGACCGAGACTAAGGCTTCATCGAGTTTCGAAAGAATCCGTCGTTAATTGTGATATAAGACGTTTGAAGGTTACATAGCATAAAATTACGCTCTAGTTTTTTTCATAGAAGATTGTATACACCTTAACGACTTTTTTTTCCATCTTTAGCCAACGATTTAAAAGTACACTTCGAAGATAAAGTAAATTCCAATGAACTCATAGATCCAACAAAAACCAATCTAATATCATCAGAACAACCACAATCAGATCGAGGTAAATTGAATCTTACACTATATGAAGAAATATAGTTCATTTATATTTCATTTTTTATTTATATACTGTCTGTCCAAAAGTATAATGTGGATAGACATTTTTTGAACATCTCTAAAACGAAAAGAGCTAGTGACCTGGGGTTCACCATTCAATAGCCAAGACCTGAGGCTATATATATTATCTATATTAAGAAATGTTGAAAAAACCAACAGAAAATATTTTGGTTGCCAGAAAAGTTTCGCAGAAACCTTTGGGACTAAACGAAGATTTTTTATTGACTTTACGTAAAAAATCAGAATGAGCGGATAAAATCGAGTAATTCCTGAGATTCTGAAGTAGGTTGGATGGATTTTGACTGAGTTGTGACTTTTTAATCTTTGATGAAAATAATCAAAAATGGATTATTCCACCTTGCATAGGTTTTCACTCGGTTCCTGCATTTGGTTCTGAAGACTAACATTGCCACGAGATTCAGCATAGTCGATAACCTATGTTTTCAGGAGTGCTAAGGCTTCAGTAAAAACGTCCACAGGACTCGAATTATGGGTTTACAAGATGACGGTTAGATCCAGTTTTGTAGAGAACTTCGGACTATATATGCCCCAAAAAAGTCAATAGATTCCTATTTGAATTTCGGAAAATCCAAACTAGTTTTTCAAAAATCTTCTGGAAAATCGGCTTTGAAAATTTTTGTTTGAAAAACGTTTTTGCTCGCGAAAAGATAGCCTCAAGTCTTGACTATAGAATAGTGAAAACTCCTTTCGTTTCAGAGATATTCAAGAATAAGAATAGAGAAATTGACCACAAAAAATGGCTATCCACATTATACTTTTGGATAGACAGTAGTCAATTTATGGGAACAGTTACCGTTCCATGATTCGAAGTGTATTTGATCAATTAATGTAGAAAAAGAAAACCTTTTGAATAATTTTTCTTTACTTATCGTACAGTCGAATCGGACATTGTACAAAAGGGCGAGCAGCTATCGTTTCCAGCGCACCTAGAACAACAACCTAATCCATTCCCAGTTCTTCCAGCACAAGAACAACAACAAGAAGATAACTCTACTGCTAAACATCATCAACCGTCTGTTATGCAACACAAACAGGAACGCCAACAAAGATCAAATTGTGCTATTATAATTGGTGCAATTGTATTTTTTGTTGGATTATTTTCCGCTGGATTAGGTAAGTTTACCCTTTTTGGTGTACTATATAAAAAGAATACGAGAAAGTGACCACAAAAAACTGCCCAAAATAACCATCTATAAAATGTCATATTTTCCACGCTTTTAAGTTAAAGAATGATCAAGTTGGAGTCAGAACAGAATTGTTGTACAACAATATTTGTGTAATCACGCATCTTTTAGCCGTTAATACGCTCTTTTCTAGTTTTTGATGCGATTTCATTTGGCTAAGCACTCTAAAAGCACGAAAAGTACATTTTTGTTTCGTTCACTTGTCTCACGTGAACGAACATATCCAAATCTATATATTGCGATTATTAAGAGATTTATGACAAATCTTCGTTTCTAAACAATCTTCATATTCAAATTTCACGTCAGAATAGTTTTAATTTTCAGCTCTGTAGAAAATGAGATGTCCACCAGATTTTTAAGATCTTTTTCTGAAAAGATCGACACATTGAGAGAATTTTGAATTTGCACGGATACAAATGGGTATGACTTTGTTCAATAAAAACAAAGACACTTGCCTTGTTGATTCGTCCATCCAGCCCCCAGTTAAGCTTTATAGAATTAGATAAGCCTCTTTCTTTCCGTGAAGGTCCTTGTAATGGCGAATGTATTCATATCTATTGAGTCCAGAAAAACACACATATCATAATACATTCCAAATCACTTTTTTGAGGTATTTTGTCACACTTGATTTTCTTTTAGCTCTTCCTCAACCACGATTACTTAAATACAATGATGGTTCTCTACGGACCACTGCTATAACCATTGGTTCTATTGCTGTGATCTTTCTTGCCTTTGTCGTTTCTGCTTGGTCTCAGAACAACAAACAAAAATCAAAAAAATATGGCGATAGCTTAACAAGTACTAGTAGTTCATTAGAATCGGGACGAAGTACATTAAATACTATATCATCGTCATTAACATCATTTGATTCATCAAAATCATTACCCGCGTACTCGAACATCCGTTTTGCCAAATGTTAGTGTATATTCAAAAGGTCCATTATGAGCGTCAATAAATGTTCTACAGTAAAGTCATCAACACGACAATTTATTATCTGATCCATGAAATGTTTATGTATCAAAAATTATTTTGTTTAATTATATTAAATACAAGATGTACTCGAGCTTTGTTTTTAAGTCTAGTAGTATGCTTTCAGAGTACTTCAAAACTGGAAAACATAGCGCATCTATTTTCAGCTAAAAGTACATTAATTTCAATAGCGTTTTCGAGCTCTTACCTTCGATACAATTTTTACGTATTAGTTAGGTTTTTGTTTGATCCTAACGAGATAATTAGCATTGTATTTAATAGAATCGATAATAAACTTGCAAAAAGATATCGAATATCACTTTTTAAGTTTATTCTTTAACTCGTAACAGTAGAGTGGTTCTTTGACTACGATGATAAGTCCGTCGCGTTGTTTACCTTATATATAGTTAACATGGTTGAAATTTCAATTGATCACAAATGGGGATATCGACAACGAAGATTAACATCGATCGATAAACTCGTAAATTCAATTAGAGTACCATCACGCCAAATGTACAGTGGCACAATCAGACCTGTGGGTCGGTTGGAAAATCGGCGGCGGCAATTTTATCCAAAACTTTTTCTATCGGCGGAGGCTAAAACAAGCTTTCATTACTAAGCTATACAAGCTAAAGAGTACTTTCATTTCGATAGCGTTTTCGAGTTCTTACATTCGACACAATTTTTACGTATTAGTTAGGCTTTTGTTTGATTCCAACGAGATAATTAACATTGTATTTAACAGAATCGATGCAGAAAAATATCGAATATCGCTTGAAAGCCGCCGTAAAGAAAGGTTTTGGTCGGTATATACCGTTATTTTTACTGTCTATCTATAGCTTTTCAATTTAGATTTTGGTATTCTAAAGTAAAATTGGTTTATTATTAATAATTATTCCATGTGTTAATGAGTTTTCTATTACTTTTAATGACATTAAACTTTATTCATTTATGCTCATAACGGTATTTTATTGGTGTTTTCATACCAAGTTCTGTTCTTAATGTTTTATCCTAATCAATTAATACAAGTTGAGCATTTTCCATTGGATTCAAATTAAATATACCCTATTCACATTTAAACATATAACCATAACCGCGTTTTCAAAGACGTTCATAGATAGATAGTCTTATTCTTCCACGTGATTACCACTAAACGCCCTTTCTCGTCGTACGTGGAATGTTCGCTGAGGACTGTTTATTTTAGACCTTTAATCGAAGCAATTTCACTTGTCATTCTTTGAGTAGGGTGATAAGTACGTCGCGTTGTTTGGTTTATATACAGTTAACATGGCTCAAATTCTACTGATCGTAATATCGACCATGATATCGACAACGAAGATTAGCATCGAGCGATAAACTCGTAAATTCAACTAGTTAGTTAGTTTATTTGACAAACAGTCATGAGTACACAGTAAGACAAGTTGATACAAGCACTTGAAGTAGACACAGCTAATACAGAAATGACTAAAAGATTAGTAACATATTCTGCCGCGCACCCATAGAACGTACTAAAAATAAAACAAAAAAAACGAAAAAGGAAAAATAAAACACAACTAAAAATTTGAAATTTGATTAGTATTCACGTATAGAACGTTCAGATGACACTAAATGCTAACATTGTAAAAGACTACGCAGACCAACTTTAAAGCTAAGCAGAGGTGTCGCCATTGGCGACATCATAAGCCAGCGATTGTCGATAGGAAAAGTTATTCCATCAAGCCTAAACAAAGGTAGTTTATATATGAGTTTCGAATTCGCTTGGAATTATCAGTTGTGAGACGTAAGTAGTAAGAGAACTTTCAGAAGAACACTATGCAACTACATAACATGAACAAACCTTTTTTCAATTTAACAGTGTGCAATAAAAAAAACATATTCTTCGTGCTTTCGAAGTGGGAAATGGAACAAATCGAAACAATGAGTCAGCCCTGAAGAAACTACAGAGAACATCCTTGGCAACTCCGTTTTAAGCTAAACTAAAAAGATAATCTGAAAAGAAGAACATTTTTCGTTGAAATCACGTTTCTTATATACTTAGTTTACTGTAGAATAAAATGACGAATAACAAAACACCTTTTAATAACTTAAAATCAACAATTAATCGCAATTAATTGACCATTATTAAAACAACAGAAAAATCACCAGGATGTTTAAGAATGGCAATATATCGGTGATTTTTAACAACTGGCGATTTTTCATGCTAGCGGATTAGTCACCAGTTGTTAAAAATCGCCGATATATCGCAATCTATGGACGATTCAGAATTGCGAATAACTGGTGATTTTATTGCTAATCGCAAGTAACCGTCCAGAAGGAAGCAATTCTAACGCCATTCTTAAACATCCTGGTGATTTTTCTGTTGTTTTAATAATGGTCAATTAATTGCGATTAAGTGTTGATTTTAAGTTATTAAAAGGTGTTTTGTTATTCGTCATTTTATTGTACAGTAAACTAAGTATATAAGAAACGTGATTTCAGCGAAAAATGTTCTACTTTTCGTGTTCATTATCTTTTTAGTTTAGCTTAAAACGGAGTTGCCAAGGATGTTCTCCGTAGTTTCCTCAGGACTGACTCATTGTTTCGATTTGAGCCAGCTTTGAACCGAAGAGCCCAGCTGACTGTTGAACTAAATACTCGCCGATTTATTGACGATTAAACGCACGATAAATCGGCTGAGTAATCGCTAAAAAATCGTCGATTTCTTGCCGATTTTGACTAAAATGGGTAATGTCTTTCTGTGCAATTCTAACGCCATTCTTAAACATCCTGGTGATTTTTCTGTTTTTTTAATAATGGTCAATTAATTGCGATTAAGTGTTGATTTTAAGTTATTAAAAGGTCTTTTGTTATTCGTCATTTTATTCTACAGTAACATGAACAAACCTTTTTTCAATTTAACAGTGTGCAATAAAAAAGACATATTCTTCGTGCTTTCGAAGTGGGAAATGGAACAAATCTTTGGGCTCTGTATCACACCGATGTTTATCGCAAAATTCAAGATCTATCTCATCGGACAGAACGTTCAATTCTGAGCAAGAATATTGCATTTAACTGATTTCTTCTTATTAGTGAGAATTTCGTTCAAAGCAAAATTCACGACACGATGAAATTATTTTCGATTACGTGATCCATGCAGCGATCAATCCATGAATGTTCTCGTGTATAGTAAAAAGAATTTGCTGCTTTAAAAATTTAGTTCATACATTATAGTAAAGAAAAGTGATGATTAGTAACTAGTTACTTTGAAAACACATTGCGGTCCTATGGTGTAGCGGTAGCACTCTGGACTTTGAATCCAGCAACCCCAGTTCAAATCTGGGTAGGACCTGTGTCTTTTTTCTTCATTTTCATTTCTTCTTCTAAATCAAAAAGTAAATGTGTATAGGGTATATTTAATTTGAATCCAATGGATGTTCTCTGTAGTTTCTTCAGGGCTGACTCATTGTTTCGATTTGTTCCATTTCCCACTTCGAAAGCACGAAGAATATGTTTTTTTTATTGCACACT